ATTCGCGACGTGCCGCTTTCCCCGCTGGACTTTGGCATCCACCCTGCGGTGGTGGGTTGAAGCTTAGAGCGTGGAATTAAAGCTGGTGGTGAAAGCGGAGGGGGGAGGGAGATCCAGTTATTTCTCCGGAATGCTTTTTCTTCCCTGTTGGCCGTATCTTTTCATGAGTCCTCCGCCACATAATATGAGCTGACCTTTTTTTACATATAAGTGATACTGTTTGGCGTGCAGAGGTCATGGCCTGTATAACGGGCCTGCCCAGTGTATCGTTCCTTTATCTTTATTGCAGCATCAGCCTGGTATTGTGGAAGTCTACAATATGCAAATGAGCCTCTGAACAATCACTGACTGTTTAGTAGTGTGCTGTGAGCTTCCTGACCAATCGGGGAGGTTCTTTGGGTGTTTGGGTGAATCATGTGATCCATCAAACTTAAATTGTTTTGGTCGAAGCAACACAGGCTAGTCTTTAATCACCTCACGGCAATTTGACTAGGGCAGTTTCAATACATTGGAGGGTATTTCATAATCAAAATAAGTGGCAATGTATGGATTATGTCCATTTCATGCCAGCATATTGAACTACTGCATTAATTCCTCCACTGAACAGTTTTGGGATCAGTTTATCTGGATATATTTGTGACTCATTTTCTACTAAAAAACTAAAATATCAAGATAACACATGAACCATGACATCAAACTTTACTACAGCATTACAACATATGTCAATTAACAGTAATGATAGCATGAGACTGTTGTATTTCTGGGCATAATCTGTCATAACAACTTATTACAGCACATGACATCTTCCATGATATATTTAAAGTGTTACTGATGTGTCTCCTTCCCCAATATTGTCCCGTTGCTCCAGAACTGTAGGAATGCCTCTGAAGCAGTGTTTGCCACTGACTCTTATTTTGTTGAATGGTAGCAAAGAAGCAAAATATGTGTTATGATTTCATCTTGTTATCAGAATCAGTTGTTTGGTTGGAAGATTTGGTTTGTTTTTTATTTTATTAGTTTACATTTTTTTGGTTGCAGTTTTTGAGCTAGAGCCACAAAGCTTTGCAAGATTATAGAGCCTATATGGAAATAGTGGGCTTGTGCTTTTGGGACCGATCACATGTACAGTTTTCATACAGCAGCCCCTCGTAGACATTACATACCTATTGAAATGCATACTAGCATACAAATATATACAGCTATATTAGCAACTACCTGGGATACCAAAGCAATGGTCAAGCAGCCACCTGGGATTACGTAACACTTTGAGAAGCCAGCTTAAAGTTTGTTCACAGACTTTCCCATTTTTTTTCTGTTTTAAATGTCCTCCACTCAGCCATGCTAGTGCTAGGCTTCAGTTAGACCACCATAGTTTACAACAGAGGTTAACTCTCTGACCTCAGGTTGAGTCGATTTGATAACTCGGTGCATCTTGAAAATATTTTAGTTCAGTTCATAATTATTGTTAAAATACTGACTGTAGGATCTGTTTTCACACTACTAGAATATAGAAAATAAAAACAGGGCTGTTAAAAATTATCACTTGTAATTTTAATTACATTGTTTTGTGTAGTGAATCATTGTTAATCACATTTATCTTATTCGCTCAGATTTGACTTTATTTAAAATGTAGTGTATTTTGTTTTAGCTTTATTAGTGGAGACAATTAGCTTAATCAGAATGTATTTATTACTTTTAATTATTCAATAACAATTTTTATCATGTGAGCACAGAACATGGAAAAATGTGTGATTTCCACAGAGTGAACAGTTTCCAATTTAATTACTAACGTCCAGTGAGAGCAACAGCGTCTGCATGTTCTAACCAGTGAGGGTATATATATATACTCTTAGTCTAAGAGTGTATATATATATATATATATATATATATATAAATATATATATATATATATATATATATATATATATATACACTCTTAGGTTAGAACATGCAGACGCTGAGAACATGGAAACTGTTCACATGTTCACATGATTCACATGAAAATCACATAATGTCAGTGGTTCAGCTTTTCTATGATTGTAGCCCCTCGCTCTGGTTCATCCAGCTGGTGGGTTCTTGTTACAAAAGTTAACAGTTCTTGTTACAGAGCTCCACCAAACTGCTGCTTTCGTTAGTTTGCTGCTTGAAAACATTTAAAAGCTTCATGGTTTGAAGGCTCTGACTAGGAAGGTTAGTGGCTTCAAACAGCACACCAAGCTTTAAAAAAACACTGAGTTGGTCCCAATCTTCACTGAATGTCATTATAATGAAAATCAGTTCAAATTAAAATTAATTTTGAAATCAGTCCAAAATCAGTGCAAATGAATCACTACCATAAGAGGCCCACTCAATGGAGCACTGCATTACACTGCTTGTGTTTTACAAGCTCTGGATCTTCTTGTACATAAAAACAGATCATTTAGGAAAACTGTTTTTTGTCAATGAAGAGCTGGCATCATTTTATCAGTTGTTCGATAACCAATCAAGGCCATTGTTCACTGAAGTGAATGAGAGAGTGGATTTATAGCTCTGCATATCAGGTTTACATAATTGCGGAAAGACATTGAAGCTAAGTAACAGCAGTTGTGAAGACAGTGCCGTGGCTGCTCCAAGGCTAGCTCAGCGATGTGTGGTGTTTTTATTGGAAAGTCTTGCCACTGGGAGCAATTCCTTTAAACCCTTGAACCTTGGAGCCTGTTGGTGAGTAATACGGCACATGAATGCAACCTTTAGGCAGTACAGACATCATAAAGGTGGGGTTGGGTGCACATAAATGTATGTACATTACATCAGTATCCAGTATACTGTACTATAGTTGGAGATGCCTTCGAGAATCATAAGGACCCAAAAGATAGACATTAAAAATATTCAGTGTTTTAGTTGATTTGGCTGCCTTTAAATGTGTGATTCAATAATGTTTCACAGAAAGTCAAACAGTTATTATGAGGGATTCAAAGAACAAGGCCAGTTTACTCACTTAACTCCAGCAAAGTTGGTTGTAAAGTGTAGTAAAGTGACATTTTGAGTTACATACTGCTGTAATACTAAATTGTGTGTGTATGGATTCAGCATAAGCATAATGTAGTCCTACGTAGAACAAAGAATGTAACCTAGTAACACAGAGCTTGTAAACTGCCTGTAGCTGAGTTAGGGCTGCCCAAAGTTTGACCCATGGTCCAGAGTTTGCTCTGGAGGATGTTTGATTTGGCTCATCCCCTCACCATATGAAAAACAAATGTTTTTATATTATATACAAGTTATTACATCCCTATTTCCCTGCAAAACAACCATTTTCAGTCACAAAATATAATATAATGTTGTAAAATCGACTTTAAAACCAACCTACCTTCTTTTTTTGTGTGTTGTTTGGTGTGTTTGGCACAAACATTGCACTTTGGCCCCTCAAACAAAAGGTTGACCCATTAAAAGCTACCTGACAGAAAATGATAAAACTCTTGCTTTGAAATAATTGAAAATTGTTCATATGAATGATTCAGTAATTACTATAAAACTAGACTGTAAATGCTGAAATAAGTGTGCATGAACAATCCCCTAGGGTTTAATTAGATAAAATCACTGTAATGTACGGCTAAAACCACTGTAATTAATGGACTTGAGTGGCTTATTCCTTGTAATACAATATTAAATGATCAAATTGATATGAAAATTAAAAAAAAAGTTTAATAAATAAGTTTATTATAACTTAGACAGTATAACAAAGATAATTCCATAAGCATGTGTTTTATGTACATATATAAAACAGTTTTACATTGACTACAATCAGAATGAAGAACCTGAGCATTCTGACATTTTCGTTATGTTGAAAAATGCAGTAGTTTATTCCTAATGTGTTAAATGGGCTGTACATAAACAAATATATGGTTTTTTTTGCATGACAAATAATGTCATAAGAAAAAATTTCAGTTTCAGACTTGTGAAAAATGTCATGGTCGTGTTTATTAGCAGTTTCCGTGACATGAGCAAAAACCTGTAAGCATAAAGCTGCTAAAACAATGTTAAGTCTGTTTTTAGTGCTGCTAAAGTGGACCTTTTTTTGCTAAAATATCAGGGCTATGTGCGCTAGGTCCAGTGTTTGTAGCCTGCAGATGCTAGAGAGAGATTTGGTGTGGTGGTCCAACAGGTGCACCCGGAGGGATGACCACATGTCCCCGTCTTACAGCTCGCGTTACTGTGAATCTCGAGTTACCGTGTGAATTACGGTGTTTACAAACTTTGCTGGCAGAGACTCTGTGGCCTATAGCGTCATCGTTGAGCCAAAATATCAGCCCTGGATAATGTCACACTACAGAAAAGCCACACCACTGGCTGATGCTTTCGGATTCATTTGGATTGGTTTCCCCTGCATATTCAGGGTTAAACGTGTTGGTTTGCTTATCATGTTTTGGGCTGCATTCAAAGCCAAAGAGAAAATACAGTGAGGTCAAGGAGGTCAAGCTGTTAGATATCACCACTAACATGCTATATCCACCAATGGTTCACACTTAAATACACTGGCATTTGATTTTAGATAGCAAAACCTTTGTTGATTTTTTAACATAACAGAGATTGGGCCAAAGTGGACTTATTCAGAAAAGGGAGGGCGTTCTGTTTCATCAGGAAGGACCGACTTGGCCAGAGCTAAACTATGTGGTTAAGCCTTTTTTTGAAGGCACATTATTTGTGGAAATGTCTGCTGACTCTCCTCTCTGCTTGAGTTTCACAGCTTAGTAAACTCTTAGTGCCTCTTTTGCGCACATCTTCAGATCATTATCCTCAGTTCAGTTTTAGAAATGGGAACTATTTATGTCAGATTTTTGGTTGACACTTCTAACGTAATCAAATCAAGTGCAAAATCTTCACTCTTTGCAGTGAACACAGTCTGTCTGCCGTCAATCAGTAAACAAAATCATACCACCTTAAAGTGTAACATTAGCATTGACCCTAGAATACACCCCTGAGGAACTCCATTTGACTCCTCATTCTTTTGTCACGTCTTTCAGTTGCACAATGAGGATGACTCCTCTGAACCAACCCCTGCCAGTGAGCCGTCCACCTCATCCCAAGCTGCTGCCTCAGAGGGCGCGACGAGCAGCCCTGTCTCCATGCCAACAGATGCAGAGGCTCCGCCCCCTCCCTATGCCAGCGTGGCACTAGGAGCCACCGCAGCACCAGGTTTGTGCACTGTACATGACAAATAAATGCTTGCAGCATTTTCACACTAACCTTAATAGTTATCTAGAAAGATATTCATACTGTAAACTATCCCTAAATAGTTTTGGAACATCTGGTAATGACAATGAAACATTGGCAAAAGAGACATAACTATCCTGACCCTGAAGCACAAAATCATGATGTTCGCCCTTCCTCAAGGCCATTTTTGTGCCACAGCGATAAGCCTCACACAGCTTTGATGGTAAATTTAAGTTGGGGGCTTGAAAAACAACATGCACCTACCTCAAAAAGCCATATTTTTATTTTAAAGTTGGTGCATGTTAACCTTAGCTGCCCCAGAGTGACTTATCAGCTTAACGTAAGTTGCTTGAGACCAAATAATGAACTAAGCATATAGAGTCCTATTTGAAGAAGGAATTGTTTAAGTACAGCGTAAAGGAGTGGCTCAGTGAAAAGTTCGTTTTCTTTCATAATTCTCAGTGTTGGTGGTAGATGGTTTGTGTCTGTTTTTGGTTTTCCATGTGCTGTCATTAAAGGTTTAGCAACAGATTTAGCAATGCAAACTGCACATGCTGGAGCAATTAGCACTTGCAGTTTCAGTCACTTCAGTGATTGCTTCGTGGGAAATTCTTTGTCCAGTTACTGACCGAAACTGAACTTTTGCATGTGTGGTATTAAATTAGTCACTGTGTGACATGACCTCATGGGAAACATAGGTTTATACGCTTCAGAAAACAGTGTATATGATGATAGTTTGGCCAAATTTAAATGATTAAATTGACAATATTCTTACCTCTCAAAAAAACGTTTGCTTGTTTAGGTTTACATTAGAGCTACGAGGCTAATGTGGTTAAGTAGTGGGAGATTTTACCTAAATAAAAGTGTCTTTTATATGTTTGTATGGTTATGAAACCTGTATATTATGCATTTAATGACTTCCATCCATTAGGGTGTGAAGTTTTGTTATTCTGAAACATAAAACACAGGACCCAGTAAGGCAGCCAGTTTTCTCAAGTCCTTTTTATATGAAATATGACTTTTTAATAGAGGGTCAGCTCTTTTCTGGAAATATAAAGGGCCCTGTGGAGCAATGTGACCTACATCAGGTACATGTGTGGCTACACACAGAGCTACAAACAAGGGGCAATACGGCAAAAATATAATGTCACTTAAAGACATTTTCAAGACACACAACATATATTATAATATAGATTACAGTCATATGCAAAAGTTTGAACATCTCCAGTCAAATAACATGTTTTTTTGGCTTTCTAAGTGAAAATATGCTCTTTACTGTAAGCAAACTTAAATATTGGGCAAAGTTTAGTGCAAAATTTCTATTCATTTATTGTTTAACATATTGGAACAAAATACCTAAAGGTAAAAGGTGCCATAACTTTTGCACAGACCACATTTTATGTTTTTTTCCTCCCAATATGTCAAATTCAGCAAGTATGCAGTAATTGTGCATTCAACCATGCACATTCTAATGCACAACTTCATGGACAATTACTTTTCTTCAAGGTCAACTAAACGTAATTTGACCAGGGGTGTCCAAACTTTTGCACACAAATGTGTATCTTTATTTAACGAAAACTGCAGTCAATCAGTGTTATTTAATCCTTCGAAGCACAGGTTCCATAATGTATATGCTGCTTTATTTAAGGTGGGATGGAAACTTCGAACAAAAGGCTGGCGAATACGAAGTCAGCTTAAGCCTTGTGGAAGTTAAAACGTGAAACATTTGATATTTAACATTAATTATTTAGGGATACACTACATTTCAATGTATTGACATACACTACATGGCCAAAAGTATGTGGACAACACTTCTAATTATTGAGTTCAGATGTTTCAGCCACACCCATTGCTAACAGGTATAAAATCAAGCACATAGCCATGCATGCATAGACAAACACTGGCCGTAGACTAAAGAGCTCAGTGACTTTAAATGTGCCTCTGTCATGAGGTGCCACCTCTGACACAAGTCAGTTCACGGAATTTCTGTCCTGCTAGATCTGCCCCTGTCAACTGTAAGTGCAGTTAATGTGAAATGGAAGCATCTATGAGCAACAACAGCTCAAAGTGGTAGACCGCCAAGCGCTGAAGCTTGTAGCGCGTAGAAAACCTCTGTTGCATCACTGACAACTGCCTCTGGAAGCAACATCAGCACAATGACTATGCGTCTGAGGAAATTCTTCATGAAATGGGTTTCCATGGCTGAGCAGCTGCACACAAGCCTAAGATCACTATGCGCAATGCCAAGTGTCGACTGGTGTGGTGTAAAGCGCCACCACTGGACTCTGGATCAGTGGAAACGTGTTCTCTGGAGTGATGAATCAGCTTCTCTATCTGTCAGTCTGATGATGAGTCTGGGTTTGGTGGATGTCAGGAGAACGTTACCTACCGGAATGCAGAGCCAACAGTACAGTTTGGTGGAGGAGGGATGATGGGCTGGGCTGTTTTCCAGGGTTTGGGCTCCTCAGTTCCAGTGAAGGGTGATGTTGATGCTGCAGCACAAAGACATTTTACACAGTTATCTGCTTCCAGCTTTGTGTCAGCAGTTTGGGGAAGAGCCTTTCCTGTTCCAGCATGACTGAGCCCCTGTGCACAAAGCAGCTCCATAAAGACATGGAGTGACCAGTTTGGTGTGGAGGAACTCCAGTGACCCTCACAGAGCCCTGACCTCAACCCCATCCAACACCTTTGGAATGAGCTAGAACGGAGATTGTAAGCCAGGCCCTCTCGTCCAACATCAGTGTCTGACCTCACAAATGCTCTTTTGACTAAATGAGCACAAATTCCCACAAACACACTCCAGTCTTGTGGAAAGTCTTCTCAGAAGAGTGGAGGCTGTTATAGCCATGGATAGCAAATCTGTATTAATGGCTCTGGTTTTGGAATAGGATGTCCAACAGACTTATATAGGTGTGATGTTAAGGTGTCCATATACTTTTGGCCACATAGTGTAGGTTTACGTCTATAGTTGAGTTTTGTTTTTGCTATTTTGGTTGTAAAAATTGCTCTTGTGCTATTAAAAGTGAACAGACGTGCCGGAATAATAATCTACTGTTAACCTGCAAAAATAGGTTTACTTAAAATAGCATCTAAAATGATAGTATTTGTAAATATGTATATGCATATCTGGTGATATACATATTTGGCTATACTGCTCAGTACTGTCTGTTGTACTAGTGACAGGACTACTGCAAGAACCTATTGTTGGACGTGTGCCTCTTGGTTTTGTATGTCCTGTAAAACTGCTATCTCCGTGTCCCCAAACAGAGCGCACCTTTCCGGGGGACTTCCCCGTCCCGCCCCCCTACAGCGTGGCCACATCGCTACCAACCTATGACGAAGTGGAGAAAGCTAAAGCTGCAGAGCTGGCAGCCTCTGCTGTGGATGTTATACCGCGGGTAAGAAACCCTGAATAGAAAACCACAAACCAAACCAACACCAGCAGCCTTAGACATATGCAGCATTCTGCAATGCTTTCTGCAGGCAGTAGTGCCTGTAATAGTGGCGTATTAATATAGAATTACATTATTATAATAAGTAATGAGTTTTCTTCCTTCAAATGACACATCAATGTACATCTTTTCTATATAAATGAAATATAATACATGTACATAACTTTACTTTCAGCAATAAATATGTTTATGTTGGCCTAATATACACTAAATGTCCAAAAATATGAGCAGTTTTTTATTAAAAAATCTGCATAATTAACTGGTTAAGACAAAAACTGTAAGGATTTCTTTACAGTGGTGGTGATAGGAACCAGGGGTCGCCATGACTACAACACAAATATAGACATTTTATTTACTATCCAGAACCACCAGTGAACCCACACGAGTCTTCTGAGTTTATATGGAATGTTGATGATGGAAAATAGTGGAAAATCTGAAATAATAAGTTTTCTTTGGGGACTATTTTGCCTCACAGTGCCCTGCATATTATGTATCCCTTCTCCATAAATGGAGGGATAATAATATGGAGTTTAAGGCCAAAATCTTCTCAAATCTATCATAAAACAGTGTCTCAGTCATCAGGCAGTGAATTCATAACCATTTCATGTAGTAACTTTCTGTGAGGGAGCTTTTAGAGGTGGACGTCTGGTTCCTATCACCACCACTGTGAACAGTTCTGACTCGCATCAAACCACCTTGAATGGCTTTGCATATCAAACACGTAATTATGCAGAATTTTGGGAAAATGAGTGGACTTCCTATGTAATAAATCCAAAGAAAAGAGTGAAACATCACTGTTTGGGTCTGTACATGCACACAGTGCTCTGAAAGTGATCAGTTATGCTGCGGAGCTGCTGTTTTCATTGTAACGCGACCCTGGCGTTGTGCTCACAGCGTGAGAAACGTTAGCAGCAGAAGCAAAGACCGGCCTGGTGTGATTTCCGCTGTGAAAAGCAGGCCGTGGGAGGCTTTAGTGGCGGCTGGCTAGCGCTGAGCGGTTTGGAAACCTCTGAACGGCTTTGAAATTCATTCGAGGCATTCTGTTTCAGACATGGCGTCTCTATTAGGAAACACTGGGGTGAGAGCGTTGCACAACCCGAGACTGGATTAAACAAGATTTAACTGCGGTTTGTGGTTAGGGGGGCTTGGTGGAGTTAGTGATTAAAAATCATTTCCAAAAGCTAAAATAGTGAGTTTCAGATTTAGACGGATGAAATGATGTTAAAAGACATAAAATGATGACCATGCAGTGAGTGTCTGCAGTGATGGTCAGAAAGGCTATGAAGTTCTGCAGCTTCAGGTTATTTAAAACTTAAAATATATATATATCATTAAACTGCTTTCGATATTAGACAAGGATAACCCAAGTAAACACAAAATACTGTTTTAAATTATTGATGATTTTAGGAAAAGTCGAAGGAAAAATGCTGTTCAGCCCTACCTGGCCCTATGTGAAAAAGTAATTGCCCCCTTAGCTATTAAATCAGTTAACCAAATTCAATTGACTATTAGGTTCAGTTCCACCAGCCACACTCAGGCATGATAACTGCCAAACCTGCTGATTCTAAACATCATTAAATAGAATCTGTCTGGCAAGGTGAAGCAGGATAGAAGGTCTCAAAAAGCAGCACATGATGCCACTTTCTGAAGAGATTCAAATACAGATGTGAAACAGAGTCATTGTCTACCAGTCTGGAAAGGGTTACAAAGGCGCAGGGACTCCAGTTACTAAGGCTCAGGGATTCCAGCGAACCACAATGAGAGCCTTTCTCCACAAACAGAGAGAACTTTCCAGGAGTGGCCGGCCTACCAAAATTTCACCAAGAGCACACTGACGACTCATTCAGGAGCTCACTGCAGGCCTCACTTGTCCCAGTTAAGGTCAACAGTTCTCACATTTGTCAAAAACATCTAGATGACCCCTAAGACTTTTGGGATAGTATTCTGTGGACTGATGGAAGACATGGGTCTCATCACATCTGGCGTAAAGCTTGCACCGCATTCCACCATAAGAGCATCATACCAACAGTGAAACATGGTGGTGGCAGTATGATGGTCTGGGGCTGCTTTGCTTGTGCAGGATCTGGACGACTTGTCATAATTGATGGAACCATCAATTCTGCTCTCTATCAGAAAATCCTGAAGGAGAATGTCTGCCCATCAGCTTGTGGCCTAAAGCTCAAGCGCAGTTGGGTTATGCAGCAGGACAATGATCTGAAGGTCACAAGCAAGTCCACCTCTCAGTGGCTCAAAAGAAACAAAATTAAGGTTTTGGAGTAGCCGAGTCAAAGTCCTGACTTGAATTCCATTGAGGTGCAGTGGCAAGACCTTAAACAGGCAGTTCATACTCCAAAACCCTCCAGTGTAGCCAAATAAAAACAATTTTGCAAAGTAGAGGGGACCAAATTTCCTCCACAGTGATGTAAAAGACTCATCACAAGTCATCACAAACTTTCTTTTGCAGTTGTTACTGCTGATGGGGGCACAACAGTTATTAGGTTTAGGGGTAAATTGCTTTTTCACGTGGGTGATATAGGGTTTGAAAAGAATCTTTACCTTCAAAAAATGGAATCATGATTTAAAAGCTGCATTTTTTGTTTACTTATTTTGTCTTTATCTTATATTAAAATTAGTTGATGATCTGAAATACTGAAATGTGACACAGTAGCAAAAATCAAAGAAATCAAGTGAGGGGCAAATACATATGTGTGTGTCTTGTTTAAGCTTTAACCAAGAAAGCAGTTGCAGTTATCTACAGTTTACTGTTTTTTTTTTTAGAGTTTTTGAGAAGGACGTGGTTTTAGCCACAACTACAGATCATATCACACTTACTGAGAAGTCTGAATAGTTGGTTTCACTGTATGTTCAAGGACGGTGGATTAAATACAAAAAAAAATAATGGTAAGTAGAAGCATAAAATATAGATTTTTGGGGTGTTTTTTTGTTTTGCTTCAAAACTTTGTGTGACTTACCAAATATTATGCCAAAATATGCTCCATTCTCCAGTCCTTGGGTAAGACTCCTATTGCTGGCTTCACCTACATGTGTCACATGATTAAACTGTAGGTCGCTTTGGATCAGAGCATCTTTCAAATGCATCATTTGGAAATAAAATAGAAAAGGTGCCATAACTTTTGCACAGGCCACATTTGATGATTTACTGTGTATTAAGCTGTGCAGAAGTATGTTCTCTGTAGAGGATGAGGTAATTTATTAGCTTATTAACATGGAATTTGACTGAACTTTCGCCTACGACGGTATATAAAAAGGCAGCATGGTCAGTTATTGCACTTGTGGTCAGTGTAGTGTGGTGAATATTGCACTTGTGATCGTGATATAACTGGACTGACAAATATTACAGCAAACTGTGGTTGGTTTGGCCTGGTATGTTAAGCAATATGCAAACGTCAGACACCAGTCTTCATTTACATAGATTAGATATGAGATAATTTACTTAGTCAAATGAAAACAGTGGAGTTTCCAAAACTGGAGTTCAAACAATGATTGAAAAGTCCAGAGAAAATGGGGCTCCTAACAACCACCTGGAAGACCTGGTCGACCCCAAAACTGACCCCCATCAGATAAACAGCGCTTAAAGCTTTCATCTCTGAGAGAGAGGAGAAAATCAAGCTGCTTCAGATCTGAAAACATCCACAGGTGTTTCTGTCCATCCTTCCACTGTGAGAAGACGACTCAGCGCTGTGGGTCTGAAAGGATGTGTAGCTGATCAAGAAGAACCTCACTGAGAAAAGGAGACGGACACATCAAACAAAGAAGCTGAACGATGGACTGACCACCCCAGAGTCCAGACCTCAACATCACTGAATGGGTTTGATTACTTCAGAAAATCATCAACCAGCTTCTAAGACTGAACTTTGGAGGTGTGTCTGCAGATTCTTTGAGGAACTGAAAGCGAGTCTCCTGATAAGAATAGACGCTGGAATGACATTAAAATGAAATGAGTGAAGGGTCTCTCAGCTAACGGTGCGTCTTGATTCCACTGTATCTGCGGCGGTTTGCCGAGTCTGTATTTTAGCAGAGCCACATCACTTACAGAGAATTTCAGCGCTACTCTCAGAGTTTTGGGCTTTGAAGTCACTGCAGCCGCATCCTCGTGGTTATGAAACCCACCATCCGAATGTTGAGCTTGTTGTCTGTTAACCCGAGCGGTAAAGATGCTCGTTCGCAGTAGGTGCTGAGGACGGGGGGAGGTGTGACATCACCTCGGTCACATCCGTCCTTTCTGGCCTTTTGTATGGCTGTCTTTGCGCAAGAGGCTGAAACAGTGAAGCGCATCAGCGGCGCTGAGGGGATTTTCTCATGAGGTTACGGAAGTTTTTGCTCTGACGCTTGAAGTGGTTTCGAAAGTTTCTGCAGGCTGCTGTCGATGAATCCCATTTCCTGCAATATTTACATTCAGAATATCTCTCCCTCTCTCTGTCTGTCTCTCTCTCTCTCTCTCTCTATGTATATATATATATATATATATATATATATATATATATATATATATATATATATATGTGTGTGTGTGTGTGTGTGTGTGTGTGTGTGTGTGTGTATATATATATATATATAATGCATGTGTGTGTGTAATAATTACATATATATATATATATATATGTATTGTATTATGTAATAATAAAAAACACAAATAATACATTTTATTGAGTATAATATATAGAATGCAAATGAATAAATATTGTAAAAGAGGAAATATATTTATATTCAAAAATACATTTTTATTTTTATTTGATTCACATTCAAGTGTAAAGTTTATATGTATTTTTTTCTGTAGTATATTTGTTATGATTCAATATAACAGAAGTATTAAAATATTTTATAATAAAAATAGTATATAGAATATAACTAATATGTGAAAAATACTATATGTATCTTTTAGAATAAATAAATAGACTCCCTTTTCAGTGAATAAACGTGTGTATTGAAGACTATGTAGAAATACAGTGTCCGAGTATTTCTGGCTGACCTACGCTGCTTATGAAATCGGCCACCTGATCAGCTAAAATCGTAGCCTAAAGTGTGTTTGTGTGGTGTTGGAGACTCTGCTGTGGGTCCAAACTGCTCAGTTCCACCTTATATAACTGCAGACGGGCCAGTTAAGACGCTCTGATCTACCATCTTATCTCCTCTTATCTCTGCGGCGTCTGTTGGCGACACGCTTTCCTGAAATGTTTGTTCTCTCTCTCTGTGTAATCAGGAGGAGGATTTTCCTCCGCGGGACGATTTCAGTGACGCTGATCAGCTGCGGGTGGGAAACGACGGGATCTTCATGCTGGCCTTCTTCAGTGAGTTCAGCACTGTGTGATCGTGTGTTGATTATCTGACCTGTTTTCATGAAATGACGTCAGCATGCTCCCTCTGCTGGTGCAGCACTGCTCCTGCGTGAATTTCAAAGGGAAATTCCACCAATGTTTCAAAAATTCCTCCATAACTCACTGTGTGAGATGTAAACAGAGCGATTCAGAGTGGTTTGGTGTGAAATGGTTCAGGTTTCTTTACAGCGGTGGTGATAGGAACCAGGGGTCGCCATGACTACAACACAAATATAGACATTTTATTTACTATCCAGAACCACCAGTGAACCTACACGAGTCTTCTGAGTTTATATGGAATGTTGATGATGGAAAATAGTGGAAAATCTGAAATAATACGTTTTCTTTGGGGACTATTTTGCCTCACAGCGCCCTGCATGTATCCCTCCACCATGAATGGAGTTTAAGTTCTCTAAACTATCATAAAACAGTGTCTCAGTCATCAGGCAGTGAATTCATAACCATTTACTGTAGTAACTGTCTGTGAGGGAGCTTTTAGAGGTGGACGTCTGGTTCCTATCACCACCACTGTGAGCATATTACACCAAACCACTCTGAATGACTTTGTTTACATCTTAACCACTCAAAACAACAACATTTCAGAAATTATTCAGGATATTAAAGTGATAGTTCTGTCAAAAATCGAAGACATGTGGTGTCTGACGTTTGTTTGTTTTCTTAGTTTTGCCCTGGAGCTACTAGGCTAACGTAGCTAAGTAATGGAAACTGATTTACACCAATTATCATGGTACTAACTATGTCTAGATCATCACAGTTGCCTCAAAGCGTGTGTAGATTCCATCTCTAATAGACTTGATTGTGGTTTTAGACACTGTATGATCTACTGCTATAAGCTTGTGTACAGCAGTTAGCTTTGTGCTAACTGCATGCTAAAATCTATATCTGTAAAACAAAAATATTGACAAAATTTAGGCTTCAAATTGGCAGCTACAGGTTTAGCTATGCCTGGAGTCGACCACAGGCAGCTCCCAGAGTCATGTGCAGCTCTTTTGCTGCCCTGTTGTGGCTCCACAGCTGAATCAGATTAGTAGGTAATAATAAAATAATCCTCCTTTACAGTAAAATAAAGCTCTGCTGATCGTTCAACACAGTTTAACAATAAATGGTCTTAAACTCTGGAGTTAATGTAGAACTGCTGATTCACCCTTTAACCCTGAAGATCAGCGCAGACTGCTGGTCACCATAGCAACACAGACAACAGTCTCGCCTAGCTAGTAGCTAACAAAATGGCAAAGAGAACATCAATAATTTAGATAAATGGACAGACGTATTTGCGATTATAATCAGTCCAGCTGGTTTCTCTGATATGTTTAATCTTCAACAAGAACACTAAAAAGTCGTGAAGCTGAAGTCGCTTCTCATTCGCCAGCTTCTCGTTCTAATTGTCCCATTCCACCTTAAATGGTGCAGCACATTCTGACGCCTCAGACACCATTTAAAGTGGAACGGGAAAATTGGAACAAGAAGCTGGTGAATGAGAAGCGACCTCAGCTTCAAGTTTCGTGCTGGAGATGCGAGAAAAGCAGCTATAGCTGAGCTAAAGCTTAAAGCAGAACAAAGTAAGTCCGCGTTTTTTGTTTATATTATATACCTTTAGCCAATACTAGGACATCAGCACATACTGAGACATATTTACAGCCAAGATATGAATTGTTACTTCAATTAAAAGGACATAAAATGTTGTGGCTCCAAAAGTTTGATTTTTGTTAAAAGGACAAATGGCTCTTCTTAACATTTGGGATGTGACCCCTGTACTACACTAATGTACTTTAGTCCATGTTTATAGGTATCTGTGTATCATGCAGTGTCAGAAACAACATAATTGAGTCTATTAGAGGATGTGAACATTGTCAAACATCCCAAACATATGGTTTAAAAAGTACCATACACTCCACACATGGAAACTAAGCCTGATTTGGCTTTGTTGTTTCTGATGTCATGAAAACCAACACATTTGCATATATATGCCTATTCAGCCTACAGGAATTTAGCCCCATCCTTTCACACTGAATTTATAATGAGGGTTGCAGCCCAGACTGCTTTCTGAATAAGGAATACAGGACAGCCAATCAGAGCAGAGCTCATTTACATATACCAGTCTTAAAGGCACAGTAACAAAAACAGCCTGTATAACTGTAAGGGATGAACAGAGGTTGGAAAAACACACAGCTCTTATACGTGAAGCTCAGGAGGAAAAGTAAAATACAAGAAAAATGAATATTGATATATAATATGATATATAATATACCTGATAAAGCGTTTGAAAGCTTAGTGTCCCGTTACTGGGGCTGAGACACAATGGGTCAGGATGGTACTTGAGGTCAGGGACTCATAACAAATGTCTGTTCTTCTGTCTGACCCCAGTGGCCTTCCTGTTCAACTGGATCGGCTTCTGTCTGTCGTTCTGCCTGACCAACACCATCGCCGGACGATACGGGGCCATCTGCGGCTTCGGGCTCTCCCTCATCAAGTGGATCCTCATCGTGAGGGTGTGTACCTGCACTCTGCCACATACTCGCTCACCTTTCTGACCCTGGACGGTCACAGTTTTACACAAGCAGTATAACAGAGACAAGAAGGACTGAGGGGCAGTTTCCCAGATCAAGATTAAACCTAAATCTAAACTAAATATGATCTTATGTGACGTGAATATGATGGTGATTCACAGTTGGCACTGCAGTGTCTTCTAAAAGTATGAAAGTGTGTGTAAACCATATACAGGAAACTGTATTTACTGTATTTATACAGATCAGTTTTACTGTAATGTTTAGATTGCATTAATTGTGTTTATTATTATTTTGTTATTACACTTTTGTTATTATTTTATATATTCCACTGCAAAAAATGGGCCAAGCCCAAAATATAATGGCTTTTACTGGTGGTTCTGGCTGGTCAGAGTCCAGATTTAAACAGTATAGAGAATATTTGGTCTCACTTTAAACATAAACTAGCTCAGCAATGTGTTTCAGCTGTACGAAGCCGTCAAAGCTGAGTGGTTTCAGAACTGACTCTTCTTTCTGTAAAAGACTGTCTGCACATTTACACACTTAACTAACTAACGTAGCGCATTTATTCGTTTAGTTCTTGACCAAAATTTTGTCGTTAAGACCATTAAAAGCTTCAGATTTTGCCCTTTTATATATAATATTGTTTTTATAATCATCATCATTATTATTATTAATGTTTTTACTGTCATATGCAAAAGTTTGACCCCCTGTCAAGTTAATTTTAAACTTAAATATGACATTTCTCTGCCTATTTGCTGCACATTTTCTGTTTACTTCCTGAGTTTAACACATTGTAAACAGGATATGATCATTTAGAAGTTTAACAAAACGTGCAATTTGACTAGGGGTGCTCAGACTTTCGCATGCGACTGTATAATGCAGAAGTGCTTCACAGCAGTCTAATAGACAAAATAGTGCAAATAATAAACCTGAAAACAATAAAAATAGAAATTAAGAGGCTAAAGCAATATAATAGTAAAGGAAAGCAAATTAAGCAAACAAAATAATAGTAACAGAAATGGTGGAAACAGTAAAAGCATTAAAGTTGAGTTAAATTCAAGGCTTTGAGTCGTATGTAATGCTATAAAATTAGATGATTAGTTGGAGATGCTGGAGCAGACAAATGCCAATCTGTGCAGGATGGTAGCAAAGAACACTGACCTATCATTTCCTCTGTTTGATATTTCAGTTTTCAGAGTATTTCACTGGATACTTCAATGGACAGTACTGGCTCTGGTGGATATTCCTTGTTCTTGGTAAGTGTGCAGCGCTGGCTCTGTTCTGGGTATTGATTTTAAGTCTGGTACCCAGAATGCTAATTCATATGGGTTCACATAAAGGGGAACTATGTTTGTGGAAAGGGTATGCAGAGTTAATCACCAAGCACTAACTCTGTTCTGGGTATATATGGGTTTATAATTCTAATGTTGTAAAAGCCAACTCTTATATTATGAAGCATAGAAGAGAAGTTATGTATGTATAAGTTGTAACTTTTCTGGGTATTTATTTTTAAGTCTAGCACCCAAAACGCTAATTCATGTACTGGTTCTAATAAAAGGGAACTATGTTCTTGGTAAATACTTATATAGCGCTACTATGGTACGGGCTAACTTCTCTGGGAGTTTATTTTTAAGTCTAGTGTCTTACACTCTAGTTTACGATACTGGTCGAATAAAAGGGAATTCTCTCTTTTTTTGGTGAGTGTGTTGAGCTGCTATGCGAAGCACTAAGTTTAGAACCCAAAATGCTAATTCACATCCTGAGAAGCTTAAACGGAAACTCTGCTTTTACACCAGTCATCCTTGTTTCTTCACTCACTGTCCAGTTTATCAGCTCCACTTACTATATAGGTGCACTTTGTAGTTCTACAGTTACAGACTGTAGTCCATCTGTTTCTCTGATACTTTGTTAGCCCCCTTTTACCCTGTTCTTCAGTGGTCAGGACCCCCATGGACCCTTACAGAGCAGGTACTGTTTGGGTGGTGGATCATTCTCAGCACTGCAGTAAAACTGACGTGGTGGTGGTGTGTTAGTGTGTGTTGTGCTGGTGTGAGTGGATCAGACACAGCAGTGCTGCTGGAGTTTTAAACACCTCAGTGTCGCTGCTGGACTGAGAACCAATAACATCCAGGCAACAGCGTCCTGTGGGCAGCGTCCTGTGACCACTGATGAAGGACTAGAAGATGACCAACACAAACTGTGCAGCAGCAGATGAGCTATCGTCTCTGACTTTACATCTATAAGGTGGACTGACAAGGTAGGAGTGTCTAATAGAGTGGACAGTGAGTGGACACAACTCCAGCAGCACTGCTGTGTCTGATCCACTCGCACCAGCACAACACACACTAACACCACCACCACCACGTCAGTGTTACTGCAGTGCTGAGAATGACCCACCACCCAAATAGTACCTGCTCTGTGAGGGTCCATGGGGGCCTGACCACTGAAGAACAGGGTAAAAGGGGGCTAACAAAGTATCAGAGAAACAGATGGACTACAGTCTGTAATTGTAGAACTACAAAGTGCACCTATATAGTAAGTGGAGCTGATAAAATGGACAGAGAGTGTAGAAACAAGGATTTTTTTAATGTTATGCCTGATCGGTGTATAAGTGTGTGCAGCTAGTACCCAAGTGGGAAGCATAAAAGGGAACTAGGTTTTGTATCAGTGCTAAGCGCAAACTCTGTTCTGGGAATATCTAAAGTCCTAAAGGCTAATTCCTATAGTGGTGCACATGAAAGGGAACGCTTCAGTGTATGTACAGAAATGGGTGCTAAGCAGCACGTCTGTTCTGGGTATTCCTCTTCGAGTCTAACACCCTAAGGCTAACTCTTGTGTTGGTAAGCATAACAGAAACGAATGCGCCAACATTGTTCTTGGAAGGCGAAGGCCTGCGCTAAGCTAACTCTTTCCTTGGTAATTATTTGTAATGCTAATCCTCAGGTTCTTGGTATGCACGCATGTTTTTTGCAGTTGTTTGTAAGGCAAAGTCATTAAAAGCTAACTGTATTCTTTGGCCCAGTCCCACTTCTTCTTTTTTACCCCTACCCCTTGTTTTCGAGTGTCAGCCTAACCTCTAGGAACTGAGTTACAGGGTAGTGGTTGAAATCCTCCCTCTGAAATGGGACCCTCAAATAAAAAGAGCATCACTTCATTAACAGCTACCAGCGCTGCTCTGTAGGCGACCCTGCCAGTCTGCAGTGACAGCAGAGGAGGGTAAAGTTCAGCTCCTCACTGCTGGGCTTTAGTTACATTTAGGACATCATATGATCTTCAAAGAGGGGGCAATTATTTATTATCGCCCACCCCTAATTCTTCAGTGATATGAAGCTGAAGGCTGATATTCTCCAGATTCTTGTTTGAATGTTCCTATTCCACCTTAAATGGTGCAGCAGTTACATTCTGGCGCTTCAGGCGTCAGAACTGCTGGACTATTTAAGGTGGAATAGCCAGTTACCAAGACATCAGTGAACTGTAAGTGATTTTTTATGCTTGTTATGAAGAAAACGACCAAAATACACTGAAACAATACTAAACTAAGATAATACAGTGGTTATTGTCATTTTTAACGGAGAAAATTCTCACATTTGTGGGTTTCTTTGGTCTCTTGCTCAGCCGTCTTACCAGTTTTCCTTTTTTTTTCATATCACTCTGTTTGGAGTCTCTGAAAAACCTCCGTTTGGAGGGTCATGTAGCCCCAACACTTCGCCCTACCCCTCTATCTCAACAAGAATTGGGACACCCTACCCCTAGACGCGAACGCGCAAAACGGAGGGCTAAGGGCTGAGTGGTAGGGGTGAGGGGTGAAATGGGATTGGGCCTTTGTACCGCTGTAGCTAAAGCTAACACTCTCCAAGTCAGGGATTTAGCATTCTGAATGGAGATTTTCTATTGAAAGGAAAGGACTAGTCCAGGACTAGGCTTAATCCTTGACCAGTAAACCCACCATACACGTTCATGTGTCCATAACTATGGGCACTGTGTTTTTAGGCCAAAATGCTAACTGTGTTTTTAGGCCAAAATGCTAACTGTGTTTTTAGCATTTCTTTAGTTAAAGCTAATGCTGTAGGTGTTAAATGCTGAATGTTGGGCTAAAGTGCCAAATCTGTCGTGAACTTGTTTAATGTCAGCCATAAAATGCATTAACAGATGACAGTGTTTGGGAGGGGGACCTGTATGAAGGCCCAGGTCAGCTAATTGCTAGTTGCTAGAAAAGATGGCATTGTGATATAAACTTGTGCTCTTTTCTGTGCAGCCCTCTGCCGCCACCTGCTGGCGGCCAGTGTGTACAACTCAGCCATCCAGCTCAAAAACTCAGCACTGTTGATATTAAAGCACCGTTATTTTTTCATACTGACAGACAAATTATAGATACAGTGGATGTTCTTGAATTACACCAAGCTTTTAATAGTTTTGTACACTCTTTAAAAAGACGGTTCTTTAGTAAAGACAGTACATCTTTACTAAGGAACCCTTGAAGAACCATCTTTTTGAAGTGTGTATGTTTGAAAATGGCCTGGAAATTTAGTTTATTTTGACCATCACCACATGTTTTTGTGAGTTTTATCTTAACTGAATGGTTCTTTAGAAAAAACATGGTTCTATATAGAAACACGAGCCCTTAAAGAACCCTTTGCATGATAAAAGTGTTCCTTGCATCATGAAGAAGTTCTTAAAAATGTGCTGTAGATGGTTCTAAATAGAATCCTTCTGAAAAGCGTTCTGCTATGTTACAATGTCAAGCTTGTAACAACAGAAGAACCCTTTTTGGTGCTACATAGAACGTTTTTCAAAAAGATTCTATATAGAACCATCTATAGAACATTCTCCATCAATCTGAGAACCCCTCCATGAGGCAAAGAACCCTTTAAATCATGCAGAAGTTTCTTTGAGTGTTCATGGTTCTACATAGAAACATTTTCTTACTACAGAACCTTTGAAGAACCATGTTTTTTAAGTGTGTATGTTTGAAAATAGCCTGGGAATTGTGTTTATTTTGACCATGACCACATATTTTAGTGAGTTTAATCATGACTGAATCAGTTCTAACTGTGCATGTTCTCTGCAGGTCTGCTCCTGTTCTTCAGAGGCTTCGTCAACTACCTGAAAGTGCGGAACTTGTCCGAGAGCATGGCAGCTACTCAGAGAACGCGCTTCTTCTTCCTCTATTAGAGGTGAGAAAACACAAAAAAGCATAATTAGACCCATGTTTAAATTTAAGAGCTGAAAGTAAAGCAAAAGTCTGTGCACCCCTGGTCTAATTCAGTGGTCAGTGTAAATACGTTAAACATCCTCTACAAAAACACACTTCTGCACATTTTGATACACAATTACTTATTATTTACTGAATTTGACCTCCTGGGAATAAAATAGAACATAAAATGCGGCATGTGGAAAAGTTAGGGTACTTTTTATATTTGATATTTCGTTTTTTCCCAGTATGTTACCTAAACATTTGCAGAAAAATGCCTCAGTAGAGGATGTTGACCTTTTTTACCATCAACAAAACATGGAATTTGACCGGTGCGCCCAAACTCTTACACATGACTGTATACAGACATATACGCAAAAACCCTCAGATCTTTTGAATTATTTGTAAGATTATGACATACATTCAATTAGGTGGTTCCAAACTTCTGACCCCCCTGTAGATGCACATACACAAATATATCACGCGATATAATTTTATATTTAGATATTAGATTTTGATTTTATACTCCAGGAGCCATATTACAGAAACTTACTATCTTTTGTCTTAAGATCTGACAGGTCAGGATAAGATTTTTTTTATTGTACACAAACTAGAAGAACCCTTTTTTGGGTGCTATATAGAACCCTTTTCCAAAAAGGTTCTAAATAGGTTCTAATAAATTTACATTCTAAATAAATTTACATCAATAAATGTATTAATTCACCTCAAACACATTAATTTACTTGAATAAATACATTAATTTACTTCAATAAGTGCATTCATTTAAATACATTCATATACATAAAAATGCATTGATTTACCCCAATAAATGCATTAATTTGCTTCAATAAGTGCATCAATTTACCTCAGTAAACACATTAATTTACCTAAAAAATGTATTAATTTACCTCAATAAAGGCTCCTTAATAAGTACGCACCTTAAGCAATTTCACTTTAAATGCATCCCTAAACTTTGGGTTGGAGGTGCTTAATGAGCAGCTAACGAGCAGCACAGCAGAGCAGCTGTTGAACGCGTCTCACTGGCTGATCTAACGCCGCGTCCCAAACCACACACTTCTGTACTTCACCTACTACACAAATGAGTGCACTTCTAATGGTGCTGCACTGTTTTACACACTATTTAGTGAGCTAGTATGCAGTTTGGGATACAGCAGAAGAAACACAGTAGGAAATCTCAGCCATTTAGATTTCAGCTCTCATTTGTTATCACTACAGCAACAAATCAAATAAGATCATTCACATATACCAGTTAATTCACTTTAAACATGAGATTTCAACTGAATATCTCCCAAAAAATGTGTTTATGGCCTTTGCTGAGTCACTTATGGCTTTATTTCGTAACAAACCACCACCGAGATCGGACATCATCAGAACGCTATGAATTACTGATAAAACTGACTTCATTTTGCATTAATTTGGTTTTGCGCTCTCTCTCATTCTCTCTCCGTCTCTCCCTCTCTTTCAGGGTCGCTTCCCCAAACATTCCTCCCTCATGTGAAATTCCCTGATGATTTGCAACCCGTCAAATGAACTGGACCGGATCCCGCCGGGGGGAGAAGAAGAGGACAAAAAGAAGAGAGAGTATCAGCTCTGCCAAAAAAAAAAATAATAATAATAATCCCTCGTTAAAGTGTCAGAGGAACTGGTGCATCAAGTCGGTACATGAGTGTAGCTTCACCAAGTTAGTGTTTGTCTGCCTTTGACAGCATCCTTGTATAAAAATTTGAGCTAGGTTGGAAAGTTAGCTGTAAAAAAGGACCTGTTTTAACGTCCCATTAACTGCACGCAGAAGAACTCAAGCTGTGGGTCTTAAAACATAGTAGAGAAAAAAGAAATGATATGCAGCCGAGACGTCCTATGCAATAGTGCTCTTTCAGATCAGACATTAGCAGCTCTTTACGGAAGACGTGTGTTTGAATTCAGGACCTTGGCGACTTTGCAGTATTAAGATGCACTGATGTTCAAACGTTTGGAGTCACTGTTCAGATCAGTGTTTATATACAATAATCATAAACCAGTAAACGAAAGGTACTTTTAGACGTCGCCGTTATTTCTGCAAAAACCTGACGTTATTGAACGATAAATGAGTTACTGTTATATTCTGTATATGATCTGCTTATAGGTATTTGTTATTATCTTTCTGGGGGTTTGATCAGTTTATTAGAACTTCATTTTGGATGTTGATTTTTATTAAAACTTCATTCCAATTTGAGTTATATAAGTGTTTCATTCTGATATTTTTTTTTCTCAGAATTTTATTCTGATAGAAATTTTTATCAGAATTTCGTCCAGATATTAACCTTATCAGAATTTCATTCAGATTTCAAATTTGTTAGAATTTTGTCCTGATATTAATTTTATCAGAATTTTATTATGTTAATTTTGTTAGAATTGTTAGAACCTCATTCTAATATTAATTTTACTAGGACTTTATTCTAGATATTAATTTTACAAAACTTGACTGTCATTTTATTAGTGTGTTGCCCTGGATTTAACATTTTTAGGAGTTCATTCTGGATATAAATTTTTTGTTAGAAATCCACTCTTTTCATTTTTTAAACATTTTTCTACTGATTACTTGTAATAACATATACTAATATATCAACATCATTTTATACATTTATCCGTCAACATAGTGGTTTTATATTACTGAAACCATTGATTCCAAACGTTTGAACGGTCAGCGTACCACGTTAAGATTTCCACTCATGATGTGATCGTGCAGATGAACTTTTGCCAATGTTAGATCCTTTATTTGTACATTTGCTGAGAATTTTCTGGTGTTTTCTTCTTAAGCCGTTACTAGTTGAACCTCGTCCGTTAGCGATTAGGTGGCTTCTTCATGACGTCAGACTGGAAGTGCAATTTGCGATTTATTCCGATTCATTTTGATCTCCTTTGCACCTTTTGTTTTTACTCTGTCTGTTGTTCGTTTTACCTTTTTATAGATATAATCGTCATCGGTTCCTCATGAAATTGTGTGAATTTGCTCAAGCTGTGAACTGGGATTAGCTCGGCTCGGAGATCTTAACTGCCTGAACGCCGCCCGCTTCGTTCGCTCGATCACTCGATTGCAATCTTCAGCAATATCAGTGTTTAATAACGTAATTAAGTGCATGGTTAACTTTGACTGAAGCCAATTTAAAGAATATTAATTACATCGGTTAAATGAATCCTGAGAAGATGCAGTTATTAATTATTCAACGTGTGTAAAACGATGAACCTATTTTTTGTGGGAGATGGTGATTTTTAGGTATGCTCTGGTTTTCTCAGAGAGGAATGTTGTGCTATGTGTTTAATTCTCTTGTCTTGCAAAATGCCAATAAAGTTCCAAACAAACCCGGCGTTTCCTTTGACCTTTCTTTGGGGCTTTCCAGCTTTGCAGAATGCTAATGCTAATGCTAACCAGGGGCTGTGTTTCAGCTGTTGAGAAATTAGTTATTATACAGTTTATCAGATGAAAGTCATTGTGAGTAGGAAGTGACCTCAGTATCCCCTGAGCAGTCTTCTGCTAATCAGTGAAGGCTAGCGCTAGCATTGAAGCTTAGCTGTTAGCTTGGCAAAAGATGTAATATTATCAGAGAACTTGTAGAGAGGAGAATTTCCACTCTGCAATATCTTCCGGTTTTCTCAAACACTAGAGGGCGCTCCCGAGTGAGTCCAAAATGAATGGGTTGATGTGGAGCATTTGAGCAAAATCATAGTTTATAAATGTTTAAACATTTTTAATGTGAAAGAATTCAATAATTTCCTGAACAGCATAAAACATTTTAACACTGCTGTTATATTTTTAAGAGCTTTTAAACTCGAGTTATAGGAGGAAACTATTTTAACTTTTCGTTTTTAGCCATTGAGCTCCATTCACTCCCATTCATTGAGGACTCCCTCGCAGGCGCCCTCTGCTGTTTAGTAGTCCTGTTTTTGATATAACCGGGGGAATAGGAAGTGGCTCCTCATAAACCGGCTCTGATATTATTTATTTAGATTTTACACTATTCCATTAAAGTGAATGTGTACCAGAGCGTAACACTCTGGTTCTTCAGCCTCCCCAACATCAACCCAACCCAACCCACCCCCTCCAACCTCTACACTTACTCTGTCATAATAAACATTTAACCAGCGCCTTGTTTACATCACTTATGTAACTCCTTTCCGGTCAGCATTTTTTTCCCCTTTGGGCCCCTCAGACCATTCACAGTGCGTCTCTCTCTCTCGCTCTCTCTCACTCTCTCTCTCTGTCTCTCTTCCTCTTAGTCTCTCTGTATAAGTATATTTTAGTGTTATTCAGGTTTTAATTTGAATTTAAATATATGAGTATTTATTAAAATGGTTTATTATTTATGTATTTGTAAGCATACATTATTATTTAAAATTATCCATTTAATATACTGTTTATATAGTAGATTATTATTATTAGTAGTAATAGTAGTATTATTGCATGCATGTTTATTTTGTGTTTTATATTTTTTTATATATATATATATTTTTTTTTGTGATATCTCTCCCTCTGCTGTCATACCTTGTTGCTAAGGTAAACAGTAGTGGGAGAAACCTCAGCTGACCCTGAGGGTCTTCTCCGCACTCATGGAGGAATTCTTCATTTGGACGTGAGAAGCGATGAAACTTCAGGTTGTTCCTTAAAGCTGCTTGTTGCCTGGCAACACACATAAACACCCATCCTCCAGAAGAAATAACAGCAACCCAGCAGAAAACTACTTCACTGAAAAAACAACCAGGTCCATAAAGCCCACCAGTACTGACCATGTAGAGGGATGCGGGGAAGAGGGGAGGGGAGGGGGTGCTGAGGGGGCTACAGTTCCCCCAGATTTCAAGATTGTTAAACTGCAACTGTTGTAAATGCTAAAAACAGTGATCTGAGTAAGGCTGTAAAAACATGCTGCGTTGTTTAAGCCCAAGAGCCACAGTGAGTAAATAGCAGCAGCTTCAAATAAGTGATACAGTAGTATATTTAACCAATAAGCCAATCGAGTTTGTGTGATACTGTGATTTTATCACGGGGAAGGGTGTTGTTAGGCACGACGTGAAGCAGAGTAAACCCTCCTTCCCCGCAATAACATCACTGTAACGCATGGCCTCGAGTGGATTACTGCTTTTATAAAACAGCAGACAACATAAAATATGACAAATCGCATAATTTATTATTAATAATAATAAACATAAACAAGTATTCTGCCAAGAAATGTAGTTCCTTTAGAGTATGGTATTGTTGCAAAGCAACCACAGACTTCTGAATGAGGATAAGAATGTTTAGTTTCCCATCATTGTATATATTGTGTTCATTTCATTAATTATTTAATTTTTTTATCTTATTATAATGAAAATATCATAACACAGCACAGTTTAATGCACCAACCTTCACATTATAAGTACTTTTTGGTCACCAAATTACTACAGTGACAGCAATGCTAATCTCCATTAGCACCTCAATGCAGTTTCCAGTCTTATTTAGCACCAAGCTAATGGCGTCCCTCCTCCCACACTGTGGCTGAATCTAGCCTCTAGAGGGACACCGTTAGCTTCTATATAAGACTGGAAATCACACTGAGGCACTAAAGGAGGTTAGCATTGTTGTTGTGGCTGCCATTTGATGACTACAAAGTACTTATGAAGGGAAGGTTTGTGCATTAAACAGTGCTTTATTATCATATGTTCATTATTATAAAATAAAAAGTTGAAATGTTCATAAAATAACCACAGTATATACAACGACAGGTGGCCAAACACTGTTCTGACCTCTTAGCATCCTCTACAGAGAACAAGCTTCTGCACATTTTAATGCACAATTTCTATTTATTTGCCATGTTTAGCATATTGAAGAAAAAAAAAATAAATAAAAAATGCCAGTATTAATTGCAAAGCCCAAGTTTTATGTTTGTTTTTTCTCCAGTATTTTAAATCAGTAAATAAACAGTAATCATGCATTAAATTGAGCAGAATTACTGTTTACTTCACTGTGCAGTGGATGTGTTCACTTATAAACACTTAGAAAATAAACAAATACATACACCAGGGGTGCCAAAACTTTTGCAAATGACTGTACCAATCAGACTGACACATAATCATATTCAGGGAATTAGAATACTTCAGTAATTGTACTTTGTTAACATACTTTAGTATTGGAAAACTTTGTACTTGCGTACTCCAGTATTATTAGAAATTAGACATTGAAAACGTCAGTACTGTATTTTACATTTCAAAGAGAAAAATCATACTTTCTACCCTTTATATTCTCATTTAGACCTTCAGAAAACTCCTCCCAAATCTTAAAGTCCAGCGGCTTTTTCTCTTTTTATTTTTCTCTCATCAATCAGTGAAGTTTCCACGTATTTTATTAGGTTTTTATTAAAATATCCATTCAAGAACAGAGTCAAGGACTAGTACCACCTATTGACATCATCACACACCAAACAAAGAAAACCCATTTACATTTACATTACATTTACAACCCATATTCATTTAGTCATTTTTTATTCTTCTACATAATCTAAAAGTGCCAGATGTTGTTTACACTTTGTCCAAATGATCTGATGAAGGGACCAGTAGAAACACTCCAAAATGACTTATAATAAAATTTAATTCCATTGACTTCCATTGGAAGTTGAGAAGTTTTTTCCTTCTCCTGTAAAATCACTTTTATGTAAATATGAGGTTTAAATCCAACAGCAGTATTTACTTTTTCCTTTTATAGACTTAAATTTGTTTTAATATGGATACTTTTACTCAACTGTATCTTCGGTTCCGTACATTTACTTATTTTACATTTTTCATGTGTCTTATTTTTGTCCTCTAATGTCATTTTATGTACAAAAACAGTGATGATTCATGTTTACATGACAATTTTAAACCTCACTTTATCTCTTACCATTAAACAGCCTGTTTTGTTACTGTGCCTTTAAGACTGATTTATGCAAATGAGCTTTGTTCTGATTGGAACTCTGGGTCTGAAACACTCATCATGACCTCAGCGTGATTGGACGGGGCTAAACTGCTGTAGAATTAATAGGTGGATGTTTCTTTATGGTGTTACGCCACAGTTTTGGAACTCTAACCGTGTTTATATGTTACATTAAATTCATATTTCAAAAACAGTAAAGACTTCTTTATAATATGAGCCACTAATTAAGGTTTGGATACAGTGCCTATATTATTTTCACTTAAGTACAGTTTCTCTGTACTGTTTACACCTCTGATTACATGGTAACAGGTTAGGAAACAGGTTGTGCGAAGGGAGAGTGAAGAACTGCGCCCTCTGCTGGCCGAGTTCAGAATATTTTGAATCGCCAGTCTTTCAACCATAGGTAAAATTTTTCAGATTAAAAATCAAGTCAAGCTTTTTACAACCATAAAAGCACAGCAGCTACAAATATGATGTAACAACAGTCTCTCTCTCTCTCTCTCTCTCTCTCTCTCTCTCTCTCTGTGCCTCTATCTGACAGGGTTAATCAGTTCTGATGATGAGCAGCCTCTCTTTGGCCCTGTTTTCTCTTTTTTTCTGCTGTAGATTACTTCCGATAACCGTGATTTGACCCCTGAGTGACAGACAGGCCCCTGACCCCTGAGTGACCGACTTCCAGGATCATGAAAACACTACAGTACATACACTACAGACTAAAAGTGTGGAAGTAAGCAGTGAGTTTATATCATTTAATATATCATTTAAATTCTTGTTTTCCTGGAACTCCATCAAGTTATGTCAAGTTAGTTTATGTTTTTCTTCTTCTTCTTTTTTTTTCCTTCTTATTTTTCTTTTCTTATTATTCTTGTCTGTTAAAATATCAACATCAAACCAGTTCCAAAACATTCAGTCTGATCAGGAATGGTGGGCTTGTATACAGCTTTTTGACTGGACATACGGTTTCCACACAGCAACCAGTTTTTTTTTTGTTGCTAATAGAAATACAGCCTTGTATCCGCCTGGGTTACCATAGCAACCATTTAGCAACACCCTAGGAACAACCTGCACACCATAGCAACCATGTAGCAAAACCTTAGCAACCACCTGGAATATCTCAGCAGCTGCCTAGCAACACCCCAGAAATCACCAGCGATACCACAGTGGCCATAGCAACACCGTGGCAACCACCTGGAAAGGGATAGCTTTCATTATGTGAATGAATGAATGAATAGGAATGAAGGGCAGAACTTTCTGGCCAAAAGTTTGTACAACCCCCTGATGTCACCATGATCGCTAGCAACACCCTAGCAACCAATAAGGATGCCAGATTTTTGTCTGTTAACTCCTTCCACAGTCTTCAAGATATCAGTACATTCAGTCCGATCAGGAATTGTAGGCTTTTTTTAAAGCTTTTTCATTGGACG